TCCTGGGCGTGATTGCGGAGCTGGAGGCGGCACATCGGTTCGATAAGATCGTTGTTTTTGAAGTGAGTCTATTTAGATATAATTTACATGAACTGTATATGGTGGTGGACTATCGATTCCAAGGTGCTACGACGAGCTGGCCGCCGAGAGGCTTAGCCGAGCGGGAGACGTGGCGTGTAAACGGCACATGCCGGAACAAAGTTGTCACGTAGCCATGCGTCGTGACGCAGGGCGGCCATCATTTGGAAGAGGCAGGCACAATGCTTGAGCAGAAATAAGATCGCAGTGCCATTTCTTAAAGCGCACCGCCCCTGACGCCGAGGCGACTTGGTCGACGAAATTAAGTTTGAAATGGAATCGGCCATAGTTGGCACAGTGATAGAAGACAAGTTTGGTAGCAGAGCAAACCACTCCGCGCCATCGCTGCACCCATCCAACGCGTGCAATGGTCGACAACAAATAAAAAACGCGTTTTAAACGTTAAAAACAATGACTTTATTCGTCTCCTAAACTTTGTAGTGTAAGATAGATGCTCTGATCTGGAAGCCTCTCTACACGTCGTTGTGTACTTCAAAAGTATTGGCGCCGCTTGAAACACGGCGGAAGAGGCTTATAAGGTCTGCTATAGTGTCATCCATATATGAGTGTCATCTATTTTCACATGTGTAAAACGTGTGTGATATTTTGTCACGTCAACGTCGATTCTAGCGGTGAGATATTGAGATAATTACAATGTGGTAAAATGTGAAAAGCACTCCATCGAGATGACGTGGCAATCGGAGAATGTCCTTTTACTAGGTTCCTGCGGAGTGGGCTGGTAGGAAACCTCTTTTTGAGAGGAAGTGAAACTGATGTAGATGTATCCCATCTGTAGTGGAATAGAAAGATAAATAATACGTTTCTTCGTGTTAAGCCAGCGCAGGACACGCGCATTTCGCGGGACGACACAAGACGTGAGCGCGGTGCCTTTCTCCAAGTGGCTGCAGTCGCTGGAGTGACGGAGCCACAACAATGCGTGACAGGGTCTCATTCCGCAATCTTGCGCTTGTCGAGTCGCAGAGCTTCTTCGTCCGGCGTGTCGCTGGCCTTGTGGAAGTGGCGTTGCTTCTCGGGTCGCGCAGGCTTCTGCGACAACTTTGGGTTGGCCTTCCGAGCGGCCCATAGGGCCGCATCGCTTTGGCGTCGTTCTCTGAGTCGCGCTGCCTCCTCATCCGATGTTTCGCTGGCTTTCTGGGCAGTGCGTACCTTAAGACGGCGAATCCTCAATTCTCATATCTTCTCGTCCTGCGTAGGACGAGAAGATATAAGAACAGTGGGCCGGGCTCAGTGCGCCGTCGAGCGCGATGCCTTCGTCTGTGTACTTCTTGATGCCAGCGACTGGCGGCGGTGCAGTCTCGTCGGGTGCAAAGAGGTCGATGACCGGCGGCGTCGGCTTGGTCTTCTTGAGCGCCTCGACGCAGCCGTCGAGGTCCGCTTGCGCTCCTCGCGGAAGGCAGCGCGCTCTACTTGCAGCCGCTCGTCGCGATGGACCTTCTTGATATTCGCGCGCGTCCACACCGCTTTTTGTGCTTGTGGATCGGATTCGGCTCGTTTGGAACTCGATCTGGAATGGAAGAAGACGGCAGCGCGGGTGGAAGAGCACGCGACGTCGTCTCTTCGCTTTGTGTGCACGCTACGCTTACTCACGGCCGTCACTACAAGGCTTTGCAGCGAGACTCAGGTTGCGTTCTTCAGCTGTCGCGACCGAACTTTGCGAGCCCTCGGAACCCGAGTTACATCGGACGCGTGTACGTATTACTACAACGCCACCGATGCTGCGTCACGGGCTTGGTCGCTTTTCGGGCGCGAATAGCGTCGCTCACTGGAAGACGGCATGCATGTCTTGTCGAAAAAGCCATCTCGCTTCACGCGTCGGCGAATTGGGAGTCGTCTGTCGTGTATAAGGCGCTCTCGGACGACGCTGGAGCGGTGCCACGAAGATCGGCAAGCAAAATGGACGCTCCGAGGACACGTCCACTGTATGCACCACCCGAAACAGCGGTTGGTGCTCGGTACGGACCTCACCCACACGTTACGGTCCCGACGCCTTGTTGGAGCAATCAGCTGCCACGAGCACGGCTAATCCCATCTAGGTCATTGCTACATGTCGACGGGGTACGCACTCCGATTGCCAAGGCCAACGAATTCCAACACAGCGCGTCGTTGCGGTTTCGGGACATTCTCCTTTCATCCCTTGGACAAAAATAACATCAAATTTTGCAATTCAAACATCCGGACAGGCTCTGCTTGACTAGTACAACGACAACAACGACAACAACGACAACAACGACAAGCTTTACGGTACCGAGTGTCGACGCAATGTCCATACATGTACCGTAGTTCGTATCCAATTCACACCATTGGTCATGTCAGTCCCGCCATCTGTGTGTCGCGGCTCACGCCGGCTGGTCTCGTCAACATCGGGTTTGACATCGCACCTCTGCCGAGCACTGCGAAATCGGGTGCTGTGGCTCATTTTCCAATTCGACTGATTCGAGTACAATATTCCCTTACCAGTTTCCATGGTCCGCTTCCTCTTTTCCGCTCTTGCGGCCCTTGCGACAGCCGTCGCTGCCCAAAAGGTACTGCTTACTACTCTCCGTCGAGACCTAACCGCACGTGGTAGACGGCGCTCATCATCGTTGATATGCAAAACGACTTTGCGTCGCCGACGGGCAGCCTGTACGTCTCGGGTGGCGACGCCATCATCCCGACCATCAACAAGCTCCGCGCCAAGGGCCAGTGGGACCTTGTCGTGACGACGCAGGACTGGCACCCGAAGGGCCACGTCTCGTTCTACTCGACGTTCGCCAAGGACCCCAAGGCCAAGATGTTCCAGCCGTACACGCTCACCAACGGCGAGAAGCAGGTGCTTTGGCCCGACCACTGTGTGCAGGTACAAAAATCGCATTCCCAACTCGATATCTCAAAGCGGGATAGGGCTCGACGGGGGCCGACTTTCACAAGGATCTTGTCCGCGCGCCGACCGACGTCAACATCCTCAAGGGTATGAACGTTTCGCTCGACTCGTACTCGGCGCTTCTTGAAAACGATCATGTACACATATTGCATGCAAATATGTGCTAATATGTTGACAGCGGACCAAGACCAAGTTGTCAAGCATCCTTGACGCGGCCGGCATCACCAACTTGGCGGTGACGGGCCTTGCGTTCGATTTTTGCGTCGGCTCGACGGCATATGACGCCAACACGATGTTTGGTTACGAAGTGACGGTCATCACGGACGCGACGGCGTCGGTGGCGCCGGCGTCGGAAACCACGATGCGCGCCCAGCTCAAGGGCGCCGGTATTCGCTTCAAGACCGCTGACCAGTTTCTCAAGATCAAGCGCCAGTGGTAATGCTTACACTAATTGCCAAGGTGCTATTATGGCAGTCTTCTCATGTTGTACTCTACCCGATGATGGTCGATTCTTCGTGTTGAAAGCGCAGGTAGCTTTCATACCTCCTCGAGAAACGTGTCAGCTCGCTAGTGTCCGAGGCTATTCATTCGTGTCGTTGTGCGTCGATTGGACGAGCCCAGCTGTGTGTGTATCATGTGCTCTGATTCTTGTCAGGCGGTGTATTACCGGGATTACCACTATGGGTTTTTCTTTTTCTATGTGGTCCATCGTCAAGCTACTTGATCGACCAGCAGCGTCCGCGGTCGTGAGCCAGACCCGTGTTGCGGAGTTCCACTTGGATGCGACCGTGGGCCGACCTGGAGCTGCAGCACCCGAAGGTACACAGGGGGTGCTCACTTAAACTCGCGGGCTGATGGAAGTCGTTGGCTTGGCGACCGACGCGAAATGTCGGGTGGTCTGATGTTGATGAGTAATGCTCGTGGTGCCGACACTGGTCGAGTTGTTTTGTTTTGGCGTCTTGGTCGGTCGTCGTACATGAAAGTGTTTTCGTTTGGCGCTGGGCATGTTACTTGTTTTCGTTCTGGAGGCGTGGCGCTGGGCGGTTGGCTGGATACATTTGTTTCGTTTTGGCGGCGTGGCACGTTGGATTTGAATT